AAATGAATAGAAATGTTCTTCAAATGTATTAGTAGTGGGTCTTAATAAAGTAACTAGTTAGAGTAAGTGAAAATGACAACATTCGTGTTAAAGGTATTTAGGTAGCAAAAATTAAAACAAACACATATTTATTTTTCTCATTCTTACCACACTTACACGAATGCGTTGGTACTTTAAACTCTATTCAGTCTAACTAGGTGTAAAGGGTATGCTTAATTTTAAGGATTAACTCTATCGGCCTTATTTAAATTTTCGCGACCTTTGTGTTGATAAGGTATAATGAGAAAATAATGTGACAGAATGAGGAAATCTCATGAAAATCAGAAAAAAAACAACAAAAAAAACAAAGATTATGTTTATAAAATTAGATGGTTTGGTCAAAGTTAATGATATCTTTTCTCTTAACACAACTAAAAATCGACTCAGCAGTAGTAGTAACATTGGGGGATTCGAGGGTAGAACACAGACAGCCCATTGTGTAGCTTTGTGATTAATAACAAATAAACAACAAAGCTTTATAAATAATTGAAAACTATAGAGAGCCGGGCGGATGCTGTTGGCTGAGAGCCTTCCCTCTGCCTCCCAGTGGCACATCGGCATGTCTGCGGACTTACAACGCTAGAATCCGGGTTTCGATACCCGTGGCGGGCAGAGCACAAATAGATCATTGTGTAGCTTTGTGCTTAATTACAAACAAACAAACAAGCCTTCCCTCTAGTAAGTAGTTAAAGATTAGGAACGATCATACCTGAACCTCCTGAGCGTTGTTCACAAAATATACATCTCCCAGTTAGTGAATAATTTACACATTAAGGAGATTGTAACTAACATTATTCAACTGGAAATGCTCTCTCTGAAAAAGATACCTTACCACAATATATATATATACCTTTTTTTTGCAGTGGCCATAAAATAAACTGATTCATTTTATCATTCTGGCTCATTAAAATTTCTGAATTTTTCCAAAATATTCACTTTTTAGTACTAGAAAAATTAAAAACCTGAACTTTAATGGACACTGTGTTGTAAAATTAATTGGTGTCTATATTTAAAAAGCATTTTCCCAATATTTTGCAACTGTACTATATTACCAATATTTAAAAAACAACAACAAAAAACAATATTTCAACACGTCAGCCTACAGTGAAAAATATTAAAAGAGATTTAAACTATAAATACCGATATTAATTTTGTAGGTTTTAAAGGCTACATTTTAAAGTAAGCATAAGTGATAAATCACAGATTGTATTTCCATCACTTACCACTCTGCATAAAATTTGTGTTACGTTGTGGCTCCCTCTTTCGCCACTTAGCTCGTCTATTCTGAAACCAAACCTAGAGGAATCACAATAAATCTTAAAATTAATAAAAAAATTCAGCAGTTGTAATAAAGGTTATTTTAGCACTTGTAAAAGTATAACTGTGGTATTCAAATGACTAGAACTAATATAAATATGTTTTATTACAAGTTACAGCTTTTTACAGTAGGTAAGATTTATATTTAGGACAGGTTAGACGTTTTGATTACTGGTGCGATCATTCTCAACTATACAAGTTTTAACGTTATTTATCGTTAAACTTGTGTACTTGAGAATGATTGCACCAGCGATCGAAACGTCGTAACTGTTCTAGATACAAATCTTACTTACTGTAAAAGCTGTAACTTGTAATAAAATAAACTTAATCAGTAAGTAAGCTCAAAACGAAACTATTAATATAAATATGTGTTTCTCAATTGCATTTTCCAGAGTACATTTCAAAGGATACAATTTTTCTATTAAGGTGTTTTTATATGGTTGAATATGATTGAATATTAGCAGTTGCATTTTTGCTACCAGAAACGGTTAGGTTAGGAACCATAAAGTAGAAGTTTTGGACTTGTTAGTTGCATAACGATATATATAGGAAAAGACACTTGCCGTTCAGAAGGAAACTGAAGTTTATTTTCTACAGACCAACCTTATCAGATTAAAATTAACGAACCGTAGAGTGATGGTGAACAATAACAACAACACACCACTTGTCAACATAGATTTTGTTTATTACACTCATGCCAGTTTGGCAAAATGCTGGTGTAATGTTACCAATCCTCTTGCATACAGCTGTTTTAAGAACATCAGTTATATTTAAGAGATTTTTTACACAGCCGTTCTCGGCACTGTATTACAATAGATTTTTTTTCTTTGATTTGAAAGGACTGTAGATCTGAACTTCGCATTTCCAGTTGTTACACAATAAGCAATATGGGGTTTGCCGTTATATTTCATGGAGAGATAATTCCAACCGGGTCCATAGTGACTGCTTGTACGGTCATTCGTCGCCCGCGACGGCCCGGCATGGCCAGGCAGTTAGGGCGCTCTACTCGCAATCTGCGGGTCACGGGTTCGAATCCCCGTCCTACCAAACATGCTCGCTGAAAGTGGGGGCGTTATAATGTGACGCTCAATCCCCATTATTCGTTGGTAAAAGAGTAGCCCAAGAGTTGGCGGTGGGTGGTGATGACTAGCTGCGTTCCCTCTAGTCTTACACTGCTAAATTAGGGACGGCTAGCGCACATAGCCCTCGTGTAGCTTTGCGCGAAATCCAAAAACAAACAAACAATCGTCGCCCGCGATTTACTTCTATCCAGAGCATGAGAAATAAAATCACGTTTCTTTCAGTGTACCTGTCATAATTCTTATTAATGGATTTCAACTTGATACAAAATGTAAAATCTTATTAATTGTAGAAGATTAAGTTTAAACTGTTTCTTACGATTATATAGATGACGGTATTTATACTGGTCCCCCCTGTGTTTCATGATTGCAAGGTTCGCGGTCTTTTTTTAAGTTATTACTCTTATAGGGTTTTTGTCATGATTACATAGTACATATAATTTAGGGACAACAAGGGACCTGTTGGTTCGTCTAGGCCGTCCCATCCACTGAACTAAATTTCAAAATGAGAATAAAACACTCAAAGTCAGCCCTTAACAAAGCTATCTGCTATTTATTCGTCCAACTCCACAAACTTTCTTGTCATAGATAGGAACTCTCAAAATTTTAATATCATCAGCAAGGTTAAAAAATTTATTGTTTATTTCTTAGTCTGTGTCATTGATGTAAATTAAAAACAGCAGAGGCCCTAATATTGAGCCATGAGGTGCCCCACTTGTGATATTTATTCAGTTTGACTGAACTACCTTTATAATAACCCTTTGTTTTCTTATTGATTATAGTCTTTATAGTCTGCCTGGTGTGTTTTTTAGTGGACTCCTGTGTGAGATTTCATATATATAATGACGTATTTGTGGAGTTAATATATTCAATTCACTCCGTCATGATTATAGATTTCAAGTTTTTTTATGATTTCTAGGCTTATTGTACTTGTTACAATAGCAGATTTCACATTTTTTTATTACTTTGTTTGTCACGATTATAGCTTTCTTTGGGTATTATTATTGGACTCATTGCAAAAGTCACGATTGCAGGCTCGGCGTTATTCTTATAAGGTTACTTACTACACTCAGTGTGTAGTGGATATGTTTGTCCTGATCATAGTTTTCATGGTGTATTGTTGGACTCATTGCACGAGCCACGATTGCATGTTCCACCTTATTATAAGATTACTGCACTCATTGTTACTAAACACATTGTATTTGTCCCGATTGTAGTTTTAATGTGCTTTTCTAGAACTTTAGGTCTCAGTGTGATTGTTCGAGGATTCAAGTCATTTCGATTTGCTGTTTTTAAGAAGTAATTTGTTACCGTTCTGTAATGGAGCAGTTAGATGCGTTATTATATATATTAATTAAAACTTCAACAAAGTTAAGAGACGATTATATAGAAAACAAACAGTCGACTAATCGATTAGGGATCTTTTGTATATAGAAAAAAGATTTATAGTTTCATTGAAGGAATAGGCATATCTGCAAAATGAAGTGTAACGTCGATGTATTATAGGTAAGAAACCTTGTCATACTTGAAAGTCTTATTAACAAAGAAGAAAAAAAATAAGAGCGAAGTTTAGAACGTTTTTCTATGTCAGCAAGGTCGAAGCATAAAATTATAGGAATTATACTTTCTAGGCTTAAGGAGTTTTTTGTCACAGATGTGTATGTATATTTGAACCGAGTTTTACATTCTTGACAATATATACACATGTATGAGATTACCTACTGCATTCTCCAGACGTACCCTCCTTAAAGTGCTTACAACCGTTTGTTAATGTCTCCCAAAACACACAGATACAAATATATATATATGTATACATATAATGTTCTTGATGTCATTACTCATTACTCTTCAAGATTCTTTACATGATTGGGCTCACGGATAAACACTGTAGGTTTGCATTACAACGAAGCATTATAAGTTTGTTGGACAAAGAAACACTGTAAGTTTTATGACAAGGAAACATTGTAAGTCTGTATCCAAAGAAGCATTAAGTTTGTATGACAAGGAAACTGTAAGTTTTTATGGCAAGGAAACACTAAGTTTGTATGACAAGGAAAACTGTAAGCCTGTATGACAAGGAAACACTGTAAGTCTGCATGAAAGAAACACTATAAGTCTGTATGACAACGAAACACTGTAAGTCTGTATAATAACAAAACACTGTAAGTCTGTATAACAAGGAAAGTGTACGTTTGTATAACAAGGAAACACTGTACATTTGTATAACAAAAAAAAAAACACTGTAGAGTCTGTATGACAAAGAAACACTGTAAGTCTGTATAACAACGAAACACTGTAAGTCTGTATGACAAGGAAACTTTTCTTGTGCTATTTAGGGTAACCATACTACTCAGTATAATAGCAAGGCTGTGGCGGTTTGTTTTCAGATCTTAATTAATTGTTATTTTTTAGCATCTGTAGTCTGTCCTATCTCGAGGAACTTTATCATACCTACAAAGTATATGTATACTCTCCTGTTTCGAAGTTCTATATATACCTATATACCAGGTATCTGTTGTCTCTCCTGCTTTAAGGCACTTTATTGACTCCTTAGACACCTTACTGATGGCATCAGAATAATTAAAATGTCATTATATTTTTGCTCATTCAGATTCCCCAGAATAAAACTTACCCTCGTATCTGAAACCCTCAAACGTTGTAATTGTTTTTAGAACATTTTAGACACATTTGATTAAGACTACTGTTGCTCGACGGTTTCGTTTACTTACATTCTACTTTATATACATCCCTATTGTCTTCCTCATGGGTGAGCGGTAAATTTACGGATCTACAAGCCTATTATGTAGCTTTGCGCTAAAAGAAATATGAATCCCCATCATTTACTGTAGCTGTATACTATAATTTTTACACTAGGTAACTTACATCTAAAACTATAAAATGACATATTTCTCTTCCTCCGACTGTTCAAACAAAAGGAGAAATGGAATTGTTGTAAATAAAAGTATCTTAATTCAAGATAGCTTCTGCATCTTGTCGATAAAATGGGCGTTGAAAATACAATCTCATCTTGTGAACCTCCAAAAAAACCGTTGGTTGAGAATTCATAAAATAATAACAGAAGAAAAAGTGCACTAATATTAAACAATTAATGTTGTTTTTCAGTAGTGGTATTTTTTTATTCTGAGCTTTCTCGACATAATACGTGTTTTAGGTAGAACGATTTGAGAAAGTATGACGATAAGATTAAACAGTTTTTGAGTTACATCTTTTTAGATTCGAAGAGTTAATATTACATAATACAAAGCACCAATAACGATACATTTTCTGAATTCAGTCTATTAGTTCCCGATTAACACCTTTTTTACATCTTATAAATCTAATATAGAGAAATATCCAAAAATGCAATTTGGTTACAGCTTCTTATTTAAAAAAACAAAAAACATTTTCATTGAAGTTTTCTCTGTAAATATAGTGTGGAACCTAACTCGATAATGGCTTTATATTTATTTCTTTTTTTTCCATAATTTTCTTAATATTAACTCTGCCTTATCATATCTACCAAGTAGCTGTAGTCTTTCCTATCTTAACAACTAAATATTATGATTACGATATATATATATATTATGCACTGTTAGCGGGAGTATCTTGTCCTGTGCCTGAGAAAATGTCGGATAAATGTTTTCTTGTCTGTATCTTACCTTTGAATTGAAAGGTCTGCTGTAGAACGCTTATTATTTATACATGAAGACTAGGCATAAGGCTGGAATTAGCTTTGCTCTACATGTACACTAAAATAGTATTGCGCATGTCAATAACGTCATTATTAAAGGTTTGTAAGAAAAATATGATATTTCTGTGGAACTACTTAAAGTAGATTTTGCGATTTTGATGACTATTAGATTTGAAAAGTTAATATTACATAGTTTAAAGCTTCATTAATGTTATATCCCCTGAATTCAGTCTATTAACTCCTGATTAAAACTTTTTTACATCTTCTAAATCTTACAATTGCAAAAGCTAAAGTAATTGTTTCTCAAAATAGTCGAATACTCAACTAATCCCTAGAAAAAGGAAAACATACCTGGACACGTGACTCACTGAGACTTAGTCCGAGTGCAAGCTCTTCACGTGCAAAAACGTCTGGATAGGGTGCCCTTTGGAAAGCTAGTTCAAGCCCTTCCAGCTGAAAGGCCGTAAACGTTGTCCTAGTAAAAAATTAATGTAATTTTGTGTTAGTTGTAGTTGAAACTTAAACAGAAATATCAAATGATAATTTATTATTTTATATGGGTTAATAAAGTTTAATTTAGTAGAGATATCTGAATATTTTAATTTCCGATGGTTCAAACGAACCTTATGAATTTTTTATGGACAAGAAACTACATGACATATATACAGTTTCAGTCTGTATGTTGAGATCTTCTTCAGGTCTCTTAAGAATCTTATACAAACAGGAATCTACCCGACGTATTTTATTTTGATAAAGTTTCGGTCTTTATGTTGAGATCTTCTTCAGGTCTCTTCTATACATTAGAAACTAACTAATGTATTTCCCCTTTTTTCACAACGTTTCGGTCTCTACGCCGAGGTCCTCAAAAGAAAAGACATTAGGTAGTTTCTTGTCCATAGAAGATTTCTAATATGCCCCAAACACTACCTAAAACTATACTAAAAGAAATCCATACGAATATTTCTATAATCTTATGGTCTGGTGAAATTAAGACTAGCTATATATCCTTCCAAATCTGATGATTTGAGCACTCGACTCGCAATCAAAGAGTCGCGGCCTCGAATCCTGTCACCAAACGTACTCACCCCTTCAGCCTTGTGCTGGTCAATCCCACTTTTCGAGTTATTACGTTACGTATTACAAGGTTGAAAGGTCTGAAACCGAACTAAATAATAATTTAAATTCAGTAGGTAAATAAATGCCGATATATCTCCAATTTATGATATTTTCCAACAAGACTGATACACACACAGTTTTCTTTTTTTTTAATACAAGTATATTTTAATACACACAAACAATAATACAATTTACAATAACAATTATTACAAATAATTATTACAAACAATGATTTGTATACAAAAGTTTTATAAACTTACAGGCAATATAAAGTATTCTTTCTAGTCTGGAACTTCCTTGATGTCTTATCGAGAGTTCACGATGAGCGAGTTAGTTTCGAGTTGACGTAAGTGCAATTCACTTAACAGGGAGCTAGCTAGCTCTGTAGTTCTCGCTGATCACACACCGATTACAGGTCTGGTTTCTTTTACCGCTGAAGTTATATAATAACTTCATAAAAGTACTAATGTCTGATGTGAAATGGTTTGTAATCTGAAGTGTCCCGATTAATTAGAGTTAATTACGGTTATAGTTTCTGAGGTTTATAGTATACCAATTACAACAACCCAATAGTAGATACACTATTTTTTAGGCGCGCCGCATTGGTTATATTTATAGGCGTGTGGAGAGTTTCTCGAAAATTCAGAATACGTAACAATACTGACGCTGACACTAGCGATTGCGTACACACATATATTGCTGATTCTTACACTCGAGAATTTTCTACAACTTCAGAGAATAGACTGGAGTTTCGCAATATATATTTAACAGTATAAGTTATGTATATTTATAAATATAAATTAATTCAAACAAACATTGATATTAATATATATATATATAATTATAAATCCGTCACAGTTAAATTCAAGAAACAAACAAATGTTCTTCCAAGCTACAACACAAAAATAGAGGACTTTAAAACCGGAAAGTACAATACAACGCGAAGAAGTAAAATATTATATCGTAGTTGTCAACTCTGAAATTACATGACTTCATATTTTTCTTGTCACGCGTCCTGTTCGTATGTCTGACGTACATATAGTTAAAAAGTTTATTTTATTGTCTCTGGAAATTTAAAATTAATTCAACGAATTATCATTGTTAGTTATTTGTGGTACTTTATGGCAGTGTTTAAAGTGATTTGTAGATGGTGCCGATATGTATACGTTTGGGAGTGTAGATTAGTGACTGACCTGATACGAAACATACTCGCGCTATAGTTGCAGAGACGCGAAAGCTAAATATTTTCACATGTTGCAGAGACAATAAAGCCAAATGTATTTCATAGTTGCAGAGAAGCTAAAGCCAAATATATTTTCTCGTTGCAGAGACTCTAAAGCCAAATGTATTTCATAGTTGCAGAGAAGCTAAAGCCAAATATATTTTCTCGTTGCAGAGACTCTAAAGCAAGATGTATTTACAAGTTGCAGAGACTCTAAAGCAAGATGTATTTACAAGTTGCAGAGACACTAAAGCCAAATGTATTTACAAGTTGCAGAGACACTAAAGCCAAATTTATTATCTAGTTGCAGAGACACTAAAGCCAAATGTATTATCTAGTTGCAGAGACACTAAACCCAAATGTATTTTCTAGTTGCAGAGACACTAAAGCCAAATTTATTATCTAGTTGCAGAGACTCTAAAGCAAGATGTATTTACAAGTTGCAGAGACACTAAAGCCAAATGTGTTCTATAGTTGCAGGGACTTAAAGTCAAATATATTTTCTAGTTGCAGGGACTCTAAAGCCAAATGTATTTTTGTGTTTTCTAGTTGCAGGAACACTAAAGTCAAAGGTATTTTCCTGTGATACCACAGATGCGTGAGTTGGGTGTTTTGCAGCATTATACATTTTTTGCCTATATGCCGTGCTGCCGTTTATTTTACCGATGTGCATATAGGCACATACCACCCCACTTTTACCATTGTTTGATGGTACTTACGTTATGTTTGATGTATTTTAATACTTGCTTTCCGTACACCCTATGTAGAGGTAAAATAGTTTTATAAGTGAGCCCCATCGCCTAAATCACATTTTTCTTGTTTTGAAGTTTCTTCATGTTACATATTCTCAAATTCATTCCTACTATCATGTGCTTTGCATATTAATACTGTAAGTTGCGTGTGCCTTATGTTGGTACTTTAGGTACGTGTGATGTAAGCTAAAAGATACGGTATGTGTATTTCTTGTAGGTATTTAAGTTAAATGTATCGTAAACTGGTACTAATTTGGTACTCATATATCCTATCAAACCTGTAATCATTGGACTTTCACAATAATGTAGACTTGTCTTCTGCAAACATTGTTTAGTAACAACCAACTATAATATCATTCATCTACAATTTAGATGTTAATTGTTTTTCCAGTTTAATACTTTTGTAACTCTGAGTCTAGAAACATATATAATACACATTGGCTGTCTTGTTACAAAAAGTGAGATGGATCCAGAAGTAAGGGCGAATGTGTATTCCGGAGAAAATGTAAAAAAAAAAATAATAGTTGACAAATATGCATGATACGTGTACTACATGTTCGTATTCAGGTTACTTCAGTTAGATGTACTTTATTTTGGTATTTCAATTATCAGCTATTTATATTGGTACTTTTACGTTCGGAGTCGGTAGCATATGATGCGTGGGATGGATATTGTTACTAATTAATGTCATGTGTTTTGTATGATTATACCTACTTTATGTGTGCTCAATATTGGTACTAACGTTACGTGTTTTGTATCATTACACTTACTTTAAGTGTGCTCCATATTGATACTAACGTTACGTGTTTTGTATGATTATACTTACTTTATGTGTGCTCCATATTGGTACTAATGTTACTTGTTTTGTATATATATACATGTTTACTTTATGTGTGCTCCATATTGGTACTTGTGTTACGCGTTTTATATACTTATATATACTTTATGTGTGCTCCATATTGGTACCAATGTTACTTGTTTTGTATAATTATACTTACTTTATGTGTGCTCCATATTGGTACTAATGTTGCTTGTTTTGTATCATTACACTTACTTTAAGTGTGCTCTATATTGATAGTAATGTTACTTGACTTGTATAGTTATACTTATTTTATGTGTGCTTTCATATTGGTAGTAATGTTACTTGTTTTGTATAATTATACTTACTTTAAGTGTGCTCTATATTGATAGTAATGTTACTTAACTTGTATAGTTATACTTATTTTATGTGTGCTCTCATATTGGTAGTAATGTTACTTGTTTTGTATAATTATACTTACTTTAAGTGTGCTCTATATTGATAGTAATGTTACTTGACTTGTATAGTTATACTTATTTTATGTGTGTTTTCATATTGGTAGTAATGTCACGTGTTTTGTATAATTATACGTACTTTATGTGTGCTCCTATGTTAGTACTAATGTTAAACATAGTACATATTAGCACTTCTATTATGCTTACTTTATAAGTGCTCTATACTAGTATTAATGTTACGTGTTTTGCATAATTATACTTACTTTACGTGTGATGCATATTGATACTATTGTTAAAAACAGTATATATTAGCATTTATATTATGCACCCATTGCTTAGACTGCTTATTGGAGCTTACGTTACGTGTGTTTTTTGTTACCTTATTTATATTTTACCTTTACTGTATTTTGTTACTACTGTGCTTGCGTTATCCGTACTTCATATTGGCAATAATGTTAAAATGTACTGTACTGTATATTAGTATTTTATATATATATTACTTATACTGCTTGGTATATACTTTACACGTGCTGGATTTTCTTAGTATTAGGCTTACATCAGATGAACTCCATATTGATACTAATGTTAAGACGTACTACATAATGGTACGTATGTTATGCTTATATATCTTGGGTATTTACAATACGTATATCTACTTATATGTACTGCGTTGTGGTATTAACATATGCCAATTTTATTATTTTAATAACGTTTAATGCACACTGTTGCTTAAGATGTCTATCCTGCATATTAATGTTACATTACGTGTATTTCCTGGATATATTTACGTTATGTATACTGTACGCTACTAATTGCATTACATTGCATGCGTTGCATGTCGATTATTACCTGTAGTAAATTAACATGCGCAGTACGTTTTTGTTATTTTATTTGTTTTAAGACTCATCCACTTCATTTTAATACCTGTTTTCAGAAAGTTTGTGTTCTATGAAAACTTGATTTTTTTCTGTTAAAGTTCTCGAATTTTCATCAGAACACGAAACAGTTATAAGGATTATGAATTTAATGGTTGGTTTACTTGATTTCATTTATTTTACATTTTCATCTTGAATGCACTCACCTTGTTTTCTTTTTCTTTGGGGGGTTTTCTCCAGTATTCCCTGACCCCTGTTTCTTCTTTGGGGTTTTGGACTTAGTGGCATCAACTTTCAAAAAAAAAAGGTTATCGCTAATTCAAAACTTTCACAGCGTGTAAGAATTTGCAAAGTAAAAATCAGACCTTATCTTACAAAGGGTAATTTATGAATAGAAAATTCCATAATATTTAAGAATCTTTAAGATAAATTTCAAGACATTATTTACTTTCAAAGTAATGGAAAACAGAATGTGTCTCACGTCACAGAAGATTTTTAAAATCGTACGATAATGGTAAACAGAACGTGTCTCACATCACAGAAGATCTTTAAAATTGTACGATAATGAAAAACAGAATGTGTCTCACGTCACAAAAGATCTTTAAAATCGTACGATAATGGAAAACAAAATGTGTCTCACGTCACATAAGATCTTTAAAATTGTACGATAATGGAAAACAGAATGTGTCTCACGTCACAGAATATCTTTAAAATCGTACGATATGGGAAAACAGAATGTGTCTCACGTCACAGAAGATCTTTAAAAATCTTACGAAACCAAAGCTTCCTTACCAATGGTTAGCATTACAAATCATATTTAAAAATAGATAGAACAGAGACTAATAAAATACGACTTTAGCTACATTAAACCGATGAAAAAAAAATGCGATTAAAACCTGTAATTCCACGTTAACTTTGGTAAACAGATAAACTTGTAGACAAAGGTGATTTAATAGAGACTTCACTGGTTATTAATCAGTTGTTTTCGGTTTTGTATTATCTCACATGATCAAGAGAAAAGTATGACAAATATTTTATAAACTGTTCACTTAGTCTTACCACTAATGTTCTGATCCAGGGCGGTATTTACTTGAACGTTGCCTGTCATCGAATCCCGAAGGCACACTGAGTTTGCTGGATTGCTTGTAACTGGCGTCGTTATGACATTACTCGTCAGTGGAAAACCCATCATACTGATATTACTCATTTCAAGCCGCTATTGGCCGTGGTCCAAAACTTCTCGTAGCTCTAGAATCACTTGGGAACTGTGAAGTTTCTTCTTGTGCCCCTGGATTTCGTTTCTTACACATATATATATATACATCAATCAGGCCCATACAACGCGCTGTTTGGAAAATATATTTCTTCATACAACTACAAGTTAACATCCACTTAAATTTAGCCTTACTTAGTGGTAAACTACGAGTTTACAAAAGGATTAATTGACGTATAAATTTATGCTGAAGTTAACTTCCTATCAAATCGAGACCCCAAGAACTATAGCAACAGATTACAGATTATCAAGCATAGTCGTCAGCTCACAACAATAAATATAGTGTACGTGTGTCAGATAGTATTGTTTAAACTTTCGCATTAGACTTAGGCATTAGACTTTGTGTCAATGGAATTGATATAACTTAAAAAAAAGTCAAATAGCCAATAAAAACTGATTAACACGATTTTAGTTAATTTATTACTTTACAATTTATTTTGCATATTATAAACTAATTCTTAAGAATCATTTTCGTAATGTTCACTGTGACTAATTCAGATATAAATAAATTGGAAAATTTAACACCATTAACTAAAAAAACAAAAGGCTTTTAATTCAAGAAGACGGCGGATCGAGCAGAGACTCCTTTCTTAAGGTGAATATAAACCACTGGAGGGTAAAGGCTGCTTTTTTTTTAAAACGTCAAAATCCTTCCAGAATGCATTACATATTCTGAAAACTAAACATGCAGTGATGACGTATAGAACATTTCTAATGAAGCATGTGCGTGATTCAAAAGTCAATTAAACTTATATGGACATTGAAGATAATTTGTAAAAAAAAATCAAATATTTATATATATTTTTTTCATGCTAAAGTAAAGAAAAAATGTGTGTATTTTTATGAAAACAATTTAGTGTGAAAAACAAGATAAGTACAAATAGGTTGCCAGCGACGTATTGCTGGGCAACGTTATCGGGCGATTAATCTAATATTCCAAAGATAATTAGATAGTTTGTTTCTTTAGTGATAAATAAATAAAACAATTAATAAATAACAAAATTTAGTTTATAATACAAAGAAACATTTGCTCAATATTTTTTGGTGGATACTGTCAAATCCTATTCGCACTGTTGTCTTTTTCTTTGGTTAGGTGATATGCAGCTGAGGGCTGAAATGGCTGGTTAAAATGTTTCGTGACGGGTCTCTCTACATCACAGTCTTGGATGCTACAAAGTTTTCAGGTAATAATGCCCGGCATGGTCAGGTGGTTAGGGCGCTCGACTCGCAATCTGCGGGTTCGAATCCACATCCTACCAAACATGCTCGCCCTTTCAGCCGTGGGGGCGTTATAATGTGACGGTCAATAGTGATTCGTTGGTAAAAGAGTAGCCCAAGAGTTGGCGGTGGGTGGTGATGACTAGCTGCCTTCCCCCTAGTCTTACACTGCTAAATTAGGGACGGCTAGCGCAGATAGCCCTCGTGTAGCTTTGCGCGAAATTCAAAACAAACAAACAAACACGTGATAGTTCTGCTAGCATGTAATCAGTTTCCTCTATGTAAAGTTGGCCACAGTATAGGTAAAGAATACTGTACATTAAACACATGGGTAATAGGAGAATGAGGATTTAACTTATTAAATGTTATACAGTTACTTGTAAGGTTGACAGGATATTTTTAAACTTTATTATAAATGAAGTATATCTTTAATGGTACGCGAATTATATTCTGTTTGTTAAGCTCTACAGGCCTTTGAACAGGCTTTATTATAATACTTGATGTATAGTTTCTTTACCTTGCTGATAGTATGCTGTTTTGAGAAATGCGAGTAAAAAATCAAGCCAAAAGTATTTGGTGATTTAACTTTTAACCTGGACGCTCGAACAAAATAGTTATTAATATATAATTATACACTTGTGATGAATTTATTTTAATATAACATAATACAACTTTATACATTCTTGTGGAGCCATCAAACTTCCATCGAAAATACTAACAGATTAAACTTTTTTTTGGTTAGTTAGTACTCCACTTTACGGAAATAGCTAGTGAATCTAAACTTACCTTCAGGGAGTTTTTGAAGAAAGAGAAGCCGTAGGAAGGAGATGAGCCTTGTTCTGTATTTGTGCTAACTCTCTTAGTTATTTAAATTTAACGAAGCTCAAATGACAGAACTCAACGACAATTACGTTTAGTTGTAGAGATTTCAATCTGGTTGGAAAGTATAAGCTTTCCTTTCCTGACATCGTTTTATTTAAAAATTAATATATGGTCCCGCCCAAGAGCAGCTATTCAACCAATCATGAGATTTCTGTATCCTTGTGGCAATGCTTTACCGCTTTGTGGTTACACAAGTCAGGCTAGTTATTCCACTTACACCATCTACTCTTGTGGCCATGCTTTTACCACTTTGTGTTTACCCAAGCCAGGTTAGTTGCGCCACCTACACCATCTACTCTTGTGGCTATGCGTTTACCGCTTTGTGTTTACCCAAGCCAGGTTTGTCGCTCCACCTACACCATCAGCTTATTAGTATTTTTACCATTAGCATAAATTTATGAAGTACAAATAAATTACTTATTATCATATTTATGGATGTGCATAGTAAAAATATCACAAACAATTATTTTCAGGTTTCTTGTAGAAATACCTTAAGGTAAAGAAACACAAGTTTTCAATTTAACTGAAACACGCGAACATGTTAATTCAACAATTATACTTCACTTGTCTATTGTATTAACGCTATTACCCCTAGTGGCTCAGCAATAAGTCTGCAGGCTTACGACGCTAAAAATTGGGTTTCGATACCCGTGGTCGGCAGAAAACAAGTACCTCACTATCTAGCTTTTTGCTTTAAAATAACCAAACCAATCAACACATTAGTTTTCCACTGAACAAGTATACGTAACTATATGCTAACTGTAGAAAAAAATAATAAATAGCTATAGGAAACTAAATTAGATTTTAGCAAAAATCTGTTTTAGTGATCTTACCTCCCTATCGTCAAAGAAAAAAAAAGCTGAAGAAGTAAAAATATTCCTTCAATTACAAATAATTAATTAAGAATAAAATAAACACTTACTAGGAAATAACTGTGATCTTCCTCAAATTAAATTATTGAAATTAAGCGTATATAAATATGGATTTGAGGATCCATTAAATTCAAGGTGTCAGAATTAGGATTTGGCTGAATAGCCACATTTGGCGACAAAGACAAGCCTAGTAATAAGCATTCCTCCCTCCGTAGTATTGCTACAGTTTCTGCACATGTGAACATAACATGACAACATAATGGAGGGTCCTACCCTCAATTTTCAGCCAATGCAACAAACACCAGGCTCTATTAAGTTTCTTTGTGGGTTAAATAGTTGACGAATATGAGATCCACTGAGAACTCGAAGATGTTTTTGAGATTTTATTAAGGAATTCTTGCTTGACAAAACATGATCTCTATGGTCTTTTGTACAAGGTAGTCAATTACAATTCTGAAAGCTTAGCAACAGTATTATCTCGCACCAAGAAAAAGTCTGGTGCGATTGCATCCCTAAAATATTGCACATATATGACCAATGCCATGTAAATACATCCTTGAGCAGTAAAGGTTCTTCTTCCCCCTCTCTTTAAAGTACATAGATATCTGTATGTCCATTCGTACTGATACCTCACCCATACTAAAACTGAAAAACCCACCAGAACAGAAATATTCAACAACTTTGTACTGAGTATACTGTAACCTCTAGCTCTCCAGACACAAACGCCATCTATCCTTAGTGCAGACATGAAACACGCCAGATATGAAGACGATCTGAATGCCAGTTACCTATGCCAATTTTGGAGAATTCTAAAAGCCTGCCTCCTGAAGTCTGCTCATTATCGTATCGTCATCGAAGAACACTCAAGTCATTAATCCATGGACAATGAGCTAGTGGCTCCTAATGGTCGTATTGTGCAGATTGCAATCAACACCTGGGGTAGTTGACTTTCCAGATCTTATCCAGTCTACGAACCAACTTTCTGATAGCGTATCCACAACCCTCTCACTATGAGCCTGGATACACCAAAAAGATGTAATGTGCCTCCTCATTTGTGTGCACTTTGTTGTTACATTTTTCTTAATACTTATTTTGTTCCTTTTGTTAGAATTTCGCGCAAAGTTACACGAAGGCTATCTGCTCCAGTCGATTTCAATTTTGCTAATCAATATCAACTACCGACAACTCGTTGGCTACTCTCGTTAAACCGAATAGCTGGATTTCACCGTCATTATTACAATGCTCCCACAGCCCCAAATTACGGCCCTGTGGACAGCGTGATGGACTGTGGAATTGATATTGTGTGGTTCGCTTCCATAGGGCCGCACTTAGCCCATTTATATTATTTAGTTCGGATATTGGTGCAAAGCTTCACAAAGTATGTTTGCGCTAGCCATCTCCAGTTTCAAAGTGACAGTTTAAAGGCAAGGCAACTAGTCAACAACAATGCCTGCCAAATCCTGGACTACTATAATCGAATAGTGAGATTTGACCGTCACCCTTATAATGCAACTACAACCCAATAGTGCGCGATTTTGCAGCAGCGGGACACGAACCATAGACCTTATGATTCACAGTCCAGTGCTCTACTATTATGCCACGCCCGGTCTAATACTAAAAGTTTGTTTAAAACGTACTTTACACTAGGTACAGCTAATTAAATGAATAAATAAAATTAAAAATTGATATAAGATAAGCAATATAATTAATATAGTTTATCAATAGTTTATGACACAAGTACGACGCACACGTGCTAACAGTCTCTTCTGTCAGCGCAACTACACGTATAAAAGATTTATGAAAGGTTATGCATTGTTTTTTTCCTTTTTAAAGTTTCCCTTGAAATGGCTTTTCGTTATATATACGTTACGTTGGACCAAAAGTGACATGACTCATAAATGCTATATCTTTTGTTCGTCAAGTGAATAGTAACGCCAATAATTTCGAAAATAAAATATACCCTCTTTGAATTTATATATTTAATTTTCACTCGCTCTGTGTTTACTATAACTTATCTGGATAGAAACTACTCTTAAGAAATATATTTCTTAGTGGTCTACCGTCTGTATGTATAAATATGTATATAACTAAATACATACAGTATTGGAAGTAGCTATGAGAACAGTGAATGAAAATAAATATACTCTTTACGTGATACATGCCCCCTAGTGGCACAGTGATATGTCTGCGGACTTACAACGCTAGAAACCGGGTTTCGATACCCGTGGTGGGCACAGCACAGATAGCACATTGTGTAGTTTTGTGCTTAATTTTAAACAAACAAATGTGAAACACGGCAGTCTGGTTGATATCCTGCTACTTACCTAGTTGTAAGTACAGGTTTGGGCATTACCTCCAGAATGTTAATATACACATTAACACGAAATGGCCTCAATGGATGTGTAGCTTCTCAAAAACCATTGGTTAGAAAAGATAACCAAATCAAAAGGCTTAAATGGAAATCTTTCTTCAAAAAATTGGATGAAAAAAGCTGATGAGTGGTATTCTTTACAGATCAATCATAATTCAAGTTGTTTGACAACAATCAATAATAGTTTGCTCGATGGTAGAAAGAAGGGCAATATCATGACAACGTACATCTATAGTGAAACACGCTTACAAGTGTGGACTGAATATCAGCCAATGGTGTTGGATGTATACACAAAAATTATGTGACTCCACGAACTCTGACAGGTACAAGTATATTCTTATCCACTCTGACGAACAAGATCTGTTGAACAGGAATTCATCTTCCGGCAATAAGTTATTCTAAGTATGCAGTAAATATGGTGAAACGATACCTGGTATTAAAAAAAAGAGGCCGCTGGAACACTCACAACCATGGATTTATTTGCACAATGCAAAATACTGGTAGACTGTACAGCCTATTTGCTTTTCTTTTATATTTTATTTAGTACTGTGCTAATGATAAAGTGTCCATTTAGTTACAATTACCCGTTGTGTGTGTGTATGTTACCGAATAGATATTCTGGTACGAAAGGTATTTCTTCTGCACGTGCTCTATTGCTTTGGACTACCTTGTATATACTTTTGTACAGCATACACTCATGAACCAAATATATATATATATAAATAAATTTATATATAAGTACATACACGTCTCAAATAAGTGCTCAAAAATAGGAAAGCATCCTTAGCTTAGCATTGCCAAAATGATGGCCGAATTTACTCAGCATCACAGAAACATCTACCATTGCATGATGTATTGCTATTCCTGCTAAACTCACATTACACAACTTAACGCAAAATGCAGAGGTGATATCATACATACATATTTATACGTAACAGAAGAAGCTTAATAGCCTTACATTTACATTATGTATACGTACGCAACAAATTAATTCGAAAAATAGTTTTCTTAACTGAGCACCAAGTTTTCTTCCAATAGAGGCTACGAGTCAAGCAAAGCATGTGACATATAAAATAATTCGAATTAACAAAGCTGGTGTGGTTAGGACTGAAAATTATTAGATTAATCAGACTGCTCAGGCGGAGACAGTGCTGAAGTTAGAGTAAGAGATTTTCTAATAAAAATTACACTAATACCTCTTATCTAAATAAATTATGCCGTTTTTTTATTGCCTATATAGCAACTGTGTTCACGTACCATACTATTAATACGTCAAATTGCACAAATAATGTAATTTTATTCAGTAATTATAAAGTAAGAATTCCACTGAGTGAAACAATGAAGAGTAATAAACAGCTCTCCTGCTTATTACTCACAGGAGTGAATTGTTCAACTGTAATCGAGTATAACCTGATCATTACCTACTCTTATGGGTCGAAACATTGTTAATAAACAGCTCAAGCATATTCCTACTGTAGAATTGTTTATCACTATTCATAAATGTTATTAAAATTTCATATCATTCACAGTGAAACACATAGATAGATGTCGAGAAAGTTGTGTTACGCTTGAAATGATTTCAGAAACTCCGAAACATTTTTGAGCATTACAGAAACAAAAGTACACAGAAAGAAGATAACAACAATAAAACATTAATATGCTGATATTTGAATGTACATATATAGAGAGAGGCTAGCTATTCGGTGTGTAAACGCACTTTCTAAATTTTTCATGCATTTGGGGCAAATTGACAGCTGAGTTTCAGATAGCGTTTGTTGATGTACGGGCCTTACGTTGAAATATATTAG